TTCCTGCTCCTCCCTTACGCTAGTACCAGTGCTCTTCCCAAAAGGAAACAATTATCTCTCTGACGGTTTTGCTTTTGGGACCAGCACAGCGATGCTGATGTTAGTTAGTTTTGGCTGCTGTGGAACCATACCTCAAAGTATTTAGCTTTCCTGCCAGATCCCAGCTGGGGAACTGTTTGGCAGCAACCCACCTGGCAGATGGTATTAAAAAAAAAAAAAAATTAACCAGTGCTCTTCCCAAAAGGAAACAATTATCTCTCTGACGGTTTTGCTTTTGGGACCAGCACAGCGATGCTGATGTTAGTTAGTTTTGGCTGCTGTGGAACCATACCTCAAAGTATTTAGCTTTCCTGCCAGATCCCAGCTGGGGAACTGTTTGGCAGCAACCCACCTGGCAGATGGTATTAAAAAAAAAAAAAAATTAAAAAAAATCAGAAACTTGAAAATTACTTTAACAGCAAGAGGGTTTGCTCTTGATTTTGCAACAACGATTTTTTAGAAGACAAGGTCATACGCGTAGCCTCCTGTCTCATTTGTAATGAATATTTGTAAGCTCAGACTATCTACTCATGTGCACAACTTTCATGTACAGTTGTAAGGCAGCCACTGAGTAGTGAGAACTGCTGGCTTTTATAGCATCTGTTAATGCTCAGAATGAGAAAGTCTTAACTATTCAGCATCTACTTGAAGTCCAGAAAATGTCTTTGCTGCTATTACTGTATTATAGAGGACTAAGCATGAATGCTCTTTTTCTTAATGCAAACCTTGTGTATTCTGTTGCTCTGCCAGCAGTTGGCAGATGTGTTTCCTCTTACTCACCGATTCCTTCTCAAAAGTGCCATTAAGTGCTGGAGCTCTTGGCAACTTTTTCTTGAATATCGTCATCTGTAACAGCATTCACAGGTGCCTTCATTGCAGAGACTTAAACAAAAAGGGTTTTCCAGTGATATTCCATGTTGGAATTGTCTTGAGCACATGGCATGGTTTAGGACCGTAGCATGGCTGGGTCATACCTTCTTTTCCATGATCCGTCAGCAGCAGCAGCCATATGTTAGATGCAATGAAAACTCGATTCTGGTCTCAAGCAGACTCCTTCCTGCTAAAAGAGTAGGTTGTGGCACAAGCATAGGGACAATCTTCACACAAGCCCTTGAATGAAATAGATCAGCTGGATCATGAGTACACGGTGTCATTTGCATTGATTTGGCATTTACTTCTGTTTTATCCAGAAGATTTTACAGCAGCTTTATGCCAGTGTGCAAAGATGAGGGAACATCACACCAGGAAGGAAGAAGCACTCACAAAGGAAAAAACATGAGCACAGATTTGTGGAAGAAATTAGAGGCATGTCTTTATCTCAGATAGTAAATGAGTGGAACCAAAGAAAGAGCTAAATGGTGGGGATACTTGCTGATACACCACTTCTGTATGCTCATCCATAAGCACTCCTGGTAACCGCCACGCTGTCGGACGAGGAGCGTGGTTGTGCAGACTGCCTTCCCCATCTTGCTTTCTTCCTTGCCTGTGTGAAGTTAGTTGCACACATGCTGCACCTACTCGGATGCCAGACATGCAAGCGACATTCCCTTACTGCTATTTATACCGATTAGCTAACGTCTAGTGCGTGAGATAAGCCGCGGGCAGCGGTGCTGCTGCTCAGCTTGGCCTTATCCTGTAACAGCTTTTCTCTATGTATTAAGATACAAGACAATATTTGAAATACAAAGAAAATGAAATATTTTGGGGGGTGGGGTGTTTCAGAATCAAACATGCAGCAAACCAGCACATGATATTACAAGCAAATAAAGGTGCTAATCAGTTTTATATTTAAAAAAAAAAAGAAATAGACCAAGTATAAGACAAACAGCAGAAACCAGGCCAACATGCGCTCACAGGAAGGGATCCAAGAGGGCTTTTTTGTGGTACGGATTGTTTTTGTAGTTTTAGCAATGTTTCAGATTTGAAGGAGGCTCCTTTCAGTCTGCCAGAAGGAATAAAAGATCCATCCAAAGGAGAATTTGAATGATTTGTTTTGGCATAGCTGAGCTACAGTGTTTGAAGGGATAATACCAAAGAAGAGAGTGCAAGTTAAAATCCTCACCAAGCACACTTTGACATCAGGCATCTAATAGAGGTAAGCTAGAAAGGATATCCTGATATAAAATTGTCACAGAGGAAAATATAAAACTGCCCTGGAGGGCTGAGTCAGGGAAAGGCCAACATTAAACCTCTGAGATGCTTGTTAGAAGTGCACCATAGGTGAATTTGTCTGCTGAAGATGATGATGCCCCGTCACAGCAGATGGGGATGGTGCTCTCTGCCAGCAGCTGTGGTTCTCACATGCCACAGCGGACCTGCTTGTCGGGTGAAAACAGCACTTGGCTCAAAAATAAGGAAAGGGTTCAGCATTAGTGATCAGAAGTGCTTAAAAATAACAAGCTATACCTTAAAGAAATCATAACATTTTCTTCCAGATTTCCTTAGCAAGGCAAATTAAATGTCAAGTGACAGATCACTGAAATGCTTTCCAAGTTTCCATTTTCAGCTTCAACCCTACCCTTGAGGAGAAGGATATCCGGGTTATTTTTAGTGCAAAATGGGGTGCTCGTGTCACACCTCTGCAGGTTACAGAGCTTTACAAAAAAAAATGCAAGCCTCCAAGTAAAACAGTTTGCTGGAGTCTCATAGCTGGGAAGTCTCAGAACTGTATCCATTAAAAATTTGGGGGAAGCTGAGGGAGAAAACGGAAGATGCTTTGCACCATTGTCGAGATATGGAAAACATAAAGCCAAAAAAGCGTGGAGGCTTGGGACTGAGGGAAACTACTTGTTCGGAGAAGGTCTGGGTGCTTGGTGCGGACACTGCCCCAGACTAAGGTCTCTTCCCAGTGTGAGGAAATTGGGGGCGGTTCCTTACC